TGGTGTTGACATGAAAATGATGTGTCGAAACAAAACAAATTTTGACACTGATTCATCGAATAAATCACAAAATAGTAAAAATCATTACAAATAAATATTACTAAGTACATGCACAACCAATTTACAGGGTCACTAAGACCAGGGCCCTGTTCCACAAGGCGATCTTAGTGCTACGTTGATCGTAAGCCTATGATAATGCATGGGAGCTACGACCAACTTAGCACTAAGATCGCTTTGTGGAACAGGTTCCAGGGCCCATTCAACAAAGAGATCTTGGCACTAAGATGATCGTTACTCCCATACTATAACATAGGCTTACGATAGTCATAACGTTAAGATGTCTTTGTGGCCCAGGCCCCAGTGTTCTTAGCGCTAAGATTGCTTCATGGAACGGAGTCCAGTACTGTAAGTCATGAGTACTATAAATAATGGTATTAATACTATTATATACAATTAAGGAGCATTACAATTGTATTAAGATAATAATGATAAAAAACAAAGTTAATGAACATATCAAAAATGTACATTAATAATTTGTCCTCAGGGTCATAGAGAAGCAATGTCCCTGCAGTGCCCCTTAGGGTACATTTAAAAAAGTTTCAAACAATTAATGTCCTAATAAGATTATCTCCAAAGAATATATATATATTCTAACATATCCAACTTGATGAAAATATCAGGACTAATCTAGTTACTTCTTTTACATATCCCCCTGTCACTTTTCACGCATTTAAAAAACAAACCTAAAACATCTAAACAATTTACAGTGATGTTGATATTTTCACTAAATATGTCCTTTCCTTTCGGACCAACAAAGACTTCACATGAGGCAAGAACATAGCATTTTTGAAAAGAGATTTTCTGTGTGTACTATACACAAATAAGACTTAGAACCAATGCAGTATTATATTTAGTATTTTGATATTTTTATAAAAAAAAATGGCTATTGTTTTTTCCCTCCTGCATTTTTAGGATAGAATTCAGTTAAATATGTACACTGGTGAGGCCTTGTTTGTCTGAAACATATATTTCTTCATTTTCAGCCCATCATGAGGATACACGGTATTAAAAGTGTGTATCCTAAACAGCAGGCTTTATGGTGTACAACCAGTACATGAAACTGTACCAGCACACAACTGTGTATTGAACATTGACATCAGAATATCATGAGCATCAATTCAGAACTAGATAATGCTGGGCAAGTTGAATTATTTTGAAAAATAACTTTCAGAAAATATTCTACACAAGGCATAAGAAGCTGGTTATATAACAGCGGGTTCCCCCCAAAATACAACAGGCATCTACATTTATTGAAAATGATTACATTTAAAATGCATCTTGTCAACAGTCTGAATATATTTAGTGTGCGTAGGATATATGTCATATTGAATTGTAGTTTCAGCTAAATTATGGCATGTCAGCTCAATGTTTGAAGATCATGAATAATGACAATGTGGCAATATAACATTTTGTGGTACCACTGATGTAACAGGTCAAGGATTGTAAATGGGGTGAAGTGAGATACCAGGCCAGCAGATGCTGAACTTGCTAAGGGAGGTAACTCTCCTGTATCACCTGGGTCTTCATTCTTGGGGAGTTACAAAACTGACAAAATGTGACAAGAATAATCGGCAGAGGTTATGTGGCTGGGGTAATTTGGCTGGGGTTATGTGGCTGGGGTTATTTGGCTGGGGTTATTTATCTGGGATAATCTAGCTTGGGTTATGTGGCTTGGGTAATCTGGTTGGTGTTATGTGGCTGGGGTAATTTGGCTGGGGTTATGTGGCTAGGGGTTATTTGGCTGGGGTTATTTATCGGGGATAATCTAGCTGGGGTTATGTGGCTGGGGTTATTTATCTGGGATAATCTAGCTGGGGTTATGTGGCTTGGTTAATCTGGTTGGGGTTATCTAACTGGGGTTATGTATGGGTAATCTGGCTGGGGTTATTAAGCTGAGATAATCTAGATCGGGTTATCTAGCTAGGGTTATATAGCTGGGGTTATGTATGGGTAATCTGGCTGGGGTTATTAAGCTGAGATAATCTAGATGGGGTTATCTAGCTGGGGTTATTTATCTAGTTGATTGTGACCAACAATGTACTAAATATAATATTGGTATGAATGTTCTAGACAATAAGCATGCTTTATACATGGATATCAGTTCTCATTGCTCGTTTTAAGAATTTTCTCTGCCAACAATCTCTGTTTTGAAAATTCCTTTTGCTTTTGAGGCAAGCTATTTTATTGTCCTTTTAAACATAAACATCAAACAGTGTCAGTGATTTAAAATCTACTCAATCAAACACAGAATCACGTATTTCGTCTATTTTTCTACTTCATGGCATCTTCCCGAGGCAAGGGAGTTAACTGACTTTAAAAGCCCAGTTTCCACCCTTGTCAAACAGGACTGGATTTTCCAGGCTTGATCATAGCGCCACCAGCGCACTATTATGAGTTATGTCCATTCTATGCCCCTCCTATTGACCAATCAGATTCCACCTCTCATATCACTTGCAATGCTTCAAACAAAATGGCGGCACCCAGTCAGGACGATCGGATTGATAATCAAGATCCATATTGTAATAAAACAGGCCTTACCTCACATAGTGCATCATAATCACTTGAGCACCTTCATTATAAACATGAAAAGATTTGCAAAATATCTGTCAACGCCCAGTTGGCGGTACACATGCTTTGTAAATCCTACAGTTGACCGAAATCTGCAGGTTGAAATCCATGTTGTTTCCAAACCGGATATTTAGTTCATTACAGGATTTTGATTGTTGATTGGCCTATGCACAGACTCGTTAATCCAGCCAAAATGTAAGTAAACCTAGTCGGGCAAGAGTGGAAACTGGAATTTGATAGTCAGTTAACGCCCTTGCCAAGGGAAGATATCGTCTTAGAAACTTGTGGCAGTCTTACCCATAATGCAACAACAAAGCTGAGCATAATGCATCCATGTTCACGAGGGCTCTGAGGAGTATCGGAGGACAGGTTGTGTCAGATGGACGCCTGTCCTGTGTCAAGGATTAGAGTACCCGGCCAGGGGACATAACTCATGTTACTTATCTAACACACTTGTTGAGGACATAGAGGAGAAAGGGTAGAGAGTCTGGATACAATAAAATCAGTAAAAATGATTAAATGCCGACCGCGGGGCATATTACCATTTATATTGGTTCTTGAGTGTTGGTCGGTTTTGAGACACAGCTACCCGAGTCTATGTTTCTCCAGCCTACAGAGCCCTCAGTGTTCAACTGTAGAAACGCCAAGACTGAGAACATTGGGTCAAACATGCATTTCATCTATGCATCTACAATTCTACAATCTATCCTATGATATACATATATATATATATATATATGAACATATACAATATTATGACATGACGGACATCAAGTCTATAGGATATCTTATATATCTCACATATATCTCCCAGGTACTGCTCTACATCAGGTTGTACAGTACTTGTATATGAACAATGTCGATCTCTAAGTAGAGCTAGGTGTGTCAGTAAAACTATTTATCAGATCCCTTTATTCCAATATTATCGGTTCTCTTGAGCATATAAAGCTTTCTGAAGTGCATTATGTGAGGTAGTAATTCTGTCTGTTTTTATTTGTTTGTGAGAGTATACAGGCGTCAGTTGTTTTCTTTGTAAAAGCCAAGTCTGGTTCATTATAACCATTTGGAGGGGTACTTTTGGAAGTTGTGAGTGAATAATACCACTTTTATATTACAGTAACATCAAGGCATGTCAGCTTACTGTGAGAAGAAAGCCCAAAGTGATGCAGGTCTCAAATATTTACCATTTAGTATGGTGCTTACAAATTTAGAAACATCAGGGCGGACCAGGATTTGAACCCACGATAATAATTTAGGAGCACTTTTACATTGTAAAATTACCGCCTCCGTGGTCTAGTGGTAGAGCATCCGCCCTGGAAGGTCCGAGGTTCGATCCCCGACCGCGTCATACCAAAAGACGTTAAAAGATGGTACCTGTTGTTACCCTGTCTGGCGCTCGGCATTAAGGGGCTAAAACAAGGACTGGTGGGCTCGGAGTCAGTATACGGTGTCTGAGTAGGGTATTCATGTTAAACTGTGGCATGGTATCTCAGTGGGCTAGCCCTATAAATCGGCATCAGTCCGGACTAGTACAAGCAGCCACACAAACACACACACGTACATGCACGTCGCTATATAAGTGCAATAATCTTGGACGCGACGTTAAACCACATTTTCACCTCACCTCACCTCACATTCCAAAATTAGTAAAATCTAAACATTTTTGAAGTTAGGATACTCATCCTGCGTTACTACCTTAAGTATTCTACTGCTGATTGGCATAACAATTTCTGTGGCTCCGAGTGAAAGAACAGCAGTAAAAGCATTAAGGTAGCAATGCCGGACAAGATAAAAAGGCTAAGTTATAACGCCTCTTCTCATTCTTATTGGTCCTGTTGTCACATGGTCAGTGAAATACAAATACAAAAGCCATAACACTTAAATAGTTATAACCATAAGAATATGAAGTGGGAAATTTGAAATTTCAATTTGAGAATTCTTACTGACATTAATGCAGACTTGGGCTGAATATCAGCCTCTGAGCAGGTGTATGTATATCTCCTCGGTATCTGAGCCCAATTCTACCCCGAAGTTCCACTTGATAACTATGAAAAACATTAAAAGCACTAAGTAGTTGGTGGGAGTAACAGAATTCCTGTAGACCACTGGACCAACCCCGAAAGTTCAGCCCAAACTTGCATCCCAACACCTCACACCAACCCAAGCCTGATCCCCAACCCACCCCGCCGCGCATCACAGCCGATCCCCAACCCACCCCGCCGCGCATCACAGCCGATCCCCGCACCCATGCACCCCACCCCAGGGCCATTAAACTACATGATGTAGCACTACAGCAATCGTAAGTCAATATCGCGAGTCTAATAATAATATACATACAGGTGTTGATTACTCACTTATCACCTAGCTTACGCTAACGTGCACAGGGGAGTTACAGCTTATGTTAACGTGCACAGGGGAGTTAAAGCTTATGTTAACGTGCACAGGGGAGTTACAGCTTATGTTAACGTGCACGGGGGAGTTACAGCTTACGTTAACGTGCACAGGGGAGTTACAGCTTATGTTAACGTGCACGGGGGAGTTACAGCTTATGTTAACGTGCACAGGGGAGTTACAGCTTATGTTAACGTGCACAGGGGAGTTACAGCTTATGTTAACGTGCACAGGGAAGTTACAGCTTATGTTAACGTGCACAGGGGAGTTACAGCTTATGTTAACGTGCACGAGGGGAGTTACAGCTTATGTTAACGTGCACGGGGGTGTTACAGCTTATGTTAACGTGCACGGGGGTGTTACAGCTTATGTTAACGTGCACGGGGGTGTTACAGCTTATGTTAACGTGCACGGGGGAGTTACAACTTACGCTAACGTGCACGGGGGAGTTACAGCTTATGTTAACGTGCACAGGGGAGTTACAGCTTATGTTAACGTGCACAGGGAAGTTACAGCTTATGTTAACGTGCACAGGGGAGTTACAGCTTATGTTAACGTGCACGAGGGGAGTTACAGCTTATGTTAACGTGCACGGGGGTGTTACAGCTTATGTTAACGTGCACGGGGGTGTTACAGCTTATGTTAACGTGCACGGGGGTGTTACAGCTTATGTTAACGTGCACGGGGGAGTTACAGCTTATGTTAACGTGCACGGGGGAGTTACAACTTACGCTAACGTGCACGGGGGAGTTACAGCTTATGTTAACGTGCACAGGGGTGTTACAGCTTATGTTAACGTGCACAGGGGAGTTACAGCTTATGCTAACGTGCACAGGGGAGTTACAGCTTATGTTAACGTGCACAGGGGAGTTTCTGTTTAAGATAACGTGCACAGGGGAGTTTCTGCTTATGTTCACCTGCACAGGGGAGTTTCCGTTTAAGATAACATGCACAGGGGAGTTTCTGCTTATGTTCACGTGCACGAGGGAGTTTCCGTTTAAGATAATGTGCACAGGGGAGTTTCTGCTTATGCTAACGTGCACGAGGGAGTTTCTGTTTAAGATAACGTGCACAGGGGAGTTTCTGTTTAAGATAACGTTCACAGGGAAGTTTCAGCTTATTTTAACATGCACAGGGGAGTTTCAGCTTATTTTAACATGCACAGGGAAGTTTCAGCTTATTTTAACATGCACAGGGGAGTTTCAGCTTATTTTAACATGCACAGGGGAGTTACAGCTTATGTTAACATGCACAGGGGAGTTACAGCTTATGTTAACTTGCACGGGGGAGTTACAGCTTATGTTAACTTGCACGGGGGAGTTTCTGCTTATTTTAACATGCACGGGGGAGTTACAGCTTATGTTACCGTGCACAGGGGAGTTTCAAAGTTTTCTTTGCCACTTATCTTACCAAGATTAACATGCAGGAGACTTGATTTACCTTTTTAATGGAACCAAGGGTTCTGACAAATATGTTATTAATTTTGCTGACATTCTGTATCACAGACATTCTAGTAATTTTTCACTGTTTGGTCCTTCTTCAAGGTAGAACCTACTACACGTCTACACAGAAAACTACACAGCATGGACATATAATCAAACATTATTTACATTCAAAATCGGTAAATTTGTACATCAAGTATATGGATAATTTCATGCAGGTATAAAAAAGACTAAATCTCTAATATTTTGTCATATCAAAATGAATATCTATTATTAAATGCGTCTTATTGCAACATCAGTACAAAAATTATCTTTCTGCCATTGAAATTACTTGGCAACCTTCAACTGACCTTGACCTTAGGACTGGTAATACGCATTAAGCCGAGATTCATCGCGGACCAAATAATGTTGGAAAAAACAGAAAGTGACACTTCCATCTCATCTTTCATCCCTTTCATTATAATAGCGTATTCATACACAATAAAATAGTCCCCAAAACAAGGCTGTTAGTTGGTTTCAACATTCTCCGGATTTTATCAATGTCAAACAATTTCTCAGATCATTTTCAGACATGAAAATAAATGAGGATATACAACAATTCATAAGGGTGCAAACAAAAACAAATCAGTAATGTCTTTCTAATAGATCCACTCTTTAAATCTGGAATGGGCAAATCTTCCATATCCTCACGCCAGTGACAGAGACGATTCGTCTTTCTGCTATTACCTAGCTCCTAGGTTCCTAAACTCACCACAAAATACTAGTCAACAATCAGAAAGGCCACAAGCTACAGTTCATCACATTTCGATTACAATTGGAAAATATCAAAACCTGAAATATAAAATTATAGAGTTCCACGTCTCCACAAGTTCATCTACATGGAAGAGAAACAGGTTTTGTTGATCTGCTGGGGTGAAGGTCATTCACGTTGTCGGCTGTGAGAGCTTGATCTTCTGTACGATCGGAGCTCGACACAGCGGACACAGCGTCAGTGGTCCGCAACACATGACACAGCTGCAGATATGTCCGCAGTTGAGGAAGATCACTTGGGACTGCAAGAACAAGGTGTTTGTTTGTTTGTTTGTTTGTTGTTTAACTCTGCACTGGGCAATAATCCAGCTATATGACTGTGGTTGGTGAACATTCCTAGATGACATAAACCAATGACTGACGTTATGAGCAACAACCGGTCAGGGTACGAGTCTGACCACCCGATCCACAGTCGCCTCTTACAACCTAGTTAAGTTAAACCCAGTGGGTTAGAGGATGACTGCTGAATTATGTCACAGTCAATGTGTCAGTAATGTTATCGGCTGTAAATAGGTAAAGCAAAATGGTGTTAAGCATATAGATTTTTTCACTTACATAGAGACGTGTGTGTGTGCTTGCGTGCGTGTGTGCTTGCGTGCGTGTGTGTGCATGTCTGTGTACGTGCATGTCTGTGTACGTGCATGTATGTGTCGGTCTCTCTGTGTTTGTGTCTGCTTGTGCTAGTCCAGACGTAAGCCAGTATGCATTTGTCTGTGTGTCTGACTAATGCTGGTCGTGTCTCTCGGGGCTGTCTCTCGTCTGATAATAGACAATCACTCGTTCTAATCATTACTGATGATCCACATACAAAAACTTTTCACATTTTAATAAATTCCACACATTCACTCATTGCCATTAGATTACTTTAATCTAAATGTTAAACTGGTTCCAGTTTCAAATACAGCCAGGCATAACAAATGTCATATACTGTAAAACGTGAAATTAATGCGTCTCCAAAAGAATGCGACCGCTGGCCCCTAGCCAAAAATGCGACTCAATATGAATGCGACACCCCCCTCCTCTCAAGCATCAGTGGATTTATATCCAAACAAATTGTCCTCTGTCAGGTTTACAGGAAAATCCTCACCTGAATCCAACCTTACATTAATCCAATCACACACCAAATAGCACGGCATATTAGCGCTGAGTAGAGTACTTCAGCTAAAACAATACGTGCGCGCTGGTTCGTGTCGGCCTTTGATGCAGTCGCAAAGAGCGATGTTTAATAATGCAAAGACCACTCGCATTTTTCGCATTTAATTCACGCTCGCATTTATTTCACGTTTTACAGTATCATATTGAAGCAGAATACATGAACAAATATTATTTTATTCCTCACAAGAGTGGATCCATGGAGGGGTCCAATAACAGAATCCTCTCTCAGTTGGGGGGGTTTGTCTACATTTGTCTTCAAACTGCTTTTGGTTTTCAAATTGGGGGGGGTCTGGACTAATTACCTCTCTTTCCAGACAGATGGAGCACTCGGAGTTCATCCCCCGGGCGATGATTGACCTCTGTCTCTGAAACATGGCCCCTGCTGCAGGGTCCTCGGGCGCGGAGGGCTCGGCTTGTGAGGAGGTTGACGGCTCTTCTGCGGACGTCTGCAAGTAGGATGACAGATGCCATGTTTATAACATCATGTTGACTGATTCTATTTCTCTCTTAATGTCGATGCTTCTAATCACATTCTGAAATATGTTGAGGAAATGTGGCGTGCCAAATCCACACTATTCCTGCTATTTGCAGCAGCCTGTGCAAGCCATACCAATGGTGATAGCATGAGCATCAACCACCTCTCATCTTGTCACAATCCAATCCTCATTGCGGTCAGCGTTTATTCTAGGGGCCATTTCTGAATTCTACCATCAGGGCTTCAACAATCCCCCCAAATAAGATCTTGTACTTGTATACGATATTCCTTTGTGCCAAGAGGCCATCCCTATAGGAGGCTGCGTCAGGTGAACTTTCTAAACAGCCAATCAGCAACAAGGCTTTTGTATTCTCAATACGAGTCAGCAAAGCATTCAGACCAGTATATCTGATTTATGTATCTCAAAAACAAACTAAGACGATTGTAGATGATTATGTCCACGCCATTATAAAATTGTGGATATTTCATAACCCGTCATTTCCGGGCTCCGTGACACGTACCGCCAGGGCATACCATCGATGCAGATTTGTGTCCTGCGTGGGGTTTGTTTTATACAAGTTGTTTCAGAAAGCTGACATCTGATTGGCCCCAGAACCCACGATCCTTCATTTAGATATGATGGTCAAAGGTCACTTCATATCTTGATGCAGACAGGTTTTTATCATAGTATACTACTCAAAACAAGTTAAGAATGACCCAGTTTTTTTATATTACTCCATGCCATGACAGATTAACGATAGTAATCTGTAAAATTCGGTTGGTCCTTAACTTCTTCTTTTTTAAATTAAATGTTTATTGTTCCCAGAGTCGTAGAGTAATACAGTTTTCCATAAAAAAATTCAAGATTGCAAAGAATTACACAAAACACTCTTTGAAAATTTGAAAGGCTTTGAAACAGTGTCCTTAACTTCTTTTGAGTAGTATAAAAGATCTTATTTCAATGACAATGGGCCTCTGAAAATTGTACTTTCCTTTTTACAACCAAATTATAAACAATTCCTCCTAAACTATGGCAGAGGCATGAGGCCTACAAATTTGGGTTTCAACAAAATATTGAAAGTATTTTCATATTGTCTGCTGAAATATGTGTACAGCTACAGACAACTCCTCTTTTTTGAGGGGGCACGGGTGGCCCAGTCGTCTAAGGCGACGCGATTTTGCTGTGCAGAGTTGTGTCCCTTTGGCACGCCAGAAACCTATCATTGTGGGTTCGAATCGCGGTTCGCCCCAATTATGTTTCTAGGTTTGTCCGCACCATACCCGTGCTCGTGGGTTTCACCAAAATGGTAAACGTCTGAGACCTGCATCACTTCGGGCTTTCCTTCCACATTAAGCTGACATGCCGCGATATAACTGGAATACTGTTAAAAGCGGCGTTAAACCCAACTCACTCACTCACTCCTCTTTTTTAAATATACCATAGGGTGTGTCTCACCTTGTTTCAGCAGCAGTGTGTCAGCTTACTACCTGATACTGTCACAAGTCGACCATTAATTACTAGGAGTTAATATTTCACAAGAAATCAGTCTACTTGAAAAGCCCTTATTCAATGCTGTATCGAGTTATTGAGGACTTACCACAACCTCCTTGGCTGGAGTCTCCACCGTCGGAGTTATCCCCCCTAGTTTGTTCTCCACTCTCATCTCCTCTGTATAGCGCAAGATAGACTTACGCAGGCCAACTTCATGAACACCGATCTGGGAAGAGATGGATAAACTACTTTATCATACCTCCATGTCAGAATGATGAGATCTGATTGGTCCACATGATCTTGATAAAATACTACGTAATCCGCTTTGGAGGGTAATAAATTTCTCAGTGGGGGAATAAATCTCTTATACCCCGCCACTTCAAAGTATGTCAAAGTAAAAAGCCACACATTTTTTCTGAGTCAATGGAAGTCACGTGACACAGCATAAGTTAACCTCAGCTCAATCGAACAGCTGTTTTCTATCAATTTTGAATTTGTGTTAGTTCTTTTACAATGTCACATTAAAACATATCGGTAAGATAAATTTGTTGTAGCTGGATCACGAGGGGTACATGGGGTTTTATTCGTCCCGTGTTAGGTTTTATTCGATGAGCCGGAGGTGAGTAGTATGAAACTTAACGAGGGACGAATAAAACCCCATGTACCCCTCGTGATCCAGCTACAACTTATAAGTCACATGATTCTTTAAATAAAGACATAAAAACTCGTAAAAAACAAACAAACCTAACGCGGGACAAATAAAACCCCATGGACCCCTCGTCACATGATTCTTTAAATAATGACACTGTGTGCTTTTCCACATCAAACATCCCTCCCAGCCTTGTGAGCTTGTGAGTACAACTGACATTATGACTGATGACTAACCAAAGGATTCTCTCCATTCTTTAACATCTGTCTCTCTCTCCTCCCTGCTCTCTCTATCCCCTCCCCTCCATCCCCCTCTCTCTTTATATACATATATAAACATATATATAGTAATAATTAAATAAGTGGAGTAAGATTGAACACAGTTTTAATTGGCTAGCGCTTTCAACTCGTACTATGTACGAGTCTCATCAGGCCATAACTGAATAACGGATGTATATTTTGCATAATACAATCAAAGAATCCCTGAGGTATATTTTGCATAATACAATCAAAGAATCCCTGATGTATATTTTGCATAATACAATCAAGGAATCCCTGATGTACTGATCAGCCATGGAATTAACCACACAACATGCTGCCTCTCACCTGTTTGAGATCATCCTCTGTGAGCTGTATAATAGTTTCTATGGTGATCTTGTGACGTGCGAACACAGGCAGGTAGTCGTCTGCTCCCGACTTCCGCAGAATTTTCACCACCTCCACCTCCAGCGCATTCTCCTGTACCCACAGTTACCATGGTTACACACATACCCAGTTAAAACGGTAACAGTTACCAGTTGGCCTGCTTCATTTTTTAAACCATTAAAACATTTATAGACAAGAGTCATCAGGAGATGACATATCCCCCGGTCTGAAGCAATTCGGCATCTGATTGATGATTTATTCATTTTATTAATTCCTTCACGCAGAGAAAGCTATAAATGGATCTACAGGATTGAAGAAGTAAAGCATTGTAAGAGAGGGTATCTGCAGTACTAACGCTGTCGATGAGTCTCTGTGGTTTCTTGTCCATGAGACGCTGGTACTGCACCAGCCAGTAGTCCGTCTGTCCCATCTCCCGACGCTCTTCCATCTCCCCCTGAAACACAAACACACACGCTTAGGAGAAAACCTACCGTGTTTGGAAATTTGATGTAGTCTCACTGTGGAGTAGTTACCCCTTATTTTAATTTGGAACTGAGCACTTTAGCACAAATTTTCAAATGCATAAATAGAGAGAAGATATGCCTTTGTAAAGTCTTGTAATCTCATCATCGAAGCAGTCAGGGTTATGGACTAGAAGATCATATCGTCACCAAAAACATCCAATATCAAACTTCCGTATTTCCTCTATTAGACACTAAGCCATTAATGAATTTCGCAAGAGCCACTGACCCGGCTTGTATTAGAGACCCAGCGTGTAATAGAGGAAATATTGATACGTTTTACAGTTCATATGGGTTATCAATCGGCAGCCATTTAATATGATATGTAGACTATCGATGTATTCATGCGCACATTTTTTTGTGCGTGAAAAGGCTTAATATATTTAAAAGGGGTTTTTGTAGCAAAAAGGAAACCTCCTTTTAACCAATGAGAATCAAACATTCTTCGATAATATGGTAGAATGAAACACAAACAAACACTAAGATGAAAACATAATCTCTACTGTCTAAAGTCCCCCAATGTTACGGATTAGCGACTTGTGACCCCCCCCATCTTGACCCTTGTACAATGGATGACATACCAGTCTCTTCCTGATTTCAACCTGCCTCATGTCCCGCTCCTCCAGTAGCTGCGACAACATCGCCGACAACGCAATTCTCTTTTCAGCTATCAGGTTCTACAATCAAACATCACCACATCTAATACAAACCACAGCAAAGTAAGATCTGGCATCAAGGTACAGATACGGAGAGAAGGGAGATATACTGGAGTGTAGCAGGCTGTAAATATCGATGGTGTTTTCTTTACACAAACAGCTTAAACAGAAAGATCATATTGACACAAGGCTACGTACCAGCTCCAACAGTGGAGTATCGTCCAATATTGACACAAGGCTACGTACCAGCTCCAACAGTGGAGTATTGGTCAATATTGACACAAGGTCACATACCAGCTCTAACAGTGGAGTATCGTCCAATATTGACACAAGGCTACGTACCAGCCCTAACAGTGGCGTATTGGTCAATATTGACACAAGGTCACATACCAGCTCTAACAGTGTAGTATTGGTCAATATTGACACAAGGTCACATACAAGCTCTAACAGTGGAGTATTGGTCAATATTGACACAAGGTCACATACAAGCTCTAACAGTGGAGTATTGGTCAATATTGACACAAGGTCACATACAAGCTCTAACAGTGGAGTATTGGTCAATATTGACACAAGGTCACATACCAGCTCTAACAGTGGAGTATCGTCCAATATTGACACAAGGTCACATACCAGCTCTAACAGTGGAGTATCGTCCAATATTGACACAAGGTCACATACCAGCTCTAACAGTGGAGTATCGTCCAATATTGACACAAGGTCACGTACCAGCTCCAACAGTGGAGTATTGGTCAATATTGACACAAGGTCACATACCAGCCCTAACAGTGGAGTATTGTCCAATATTGACACAAGGTCACATACCAGCTCCAACAGTGGAGTATTGGTCAATATTGACACAACGCTACATACCAGCTCCAACAGTAGAGTATTGGTCAATATTGACACAAGGTCACGTACCAGCTCCAACAGTAGAGTATTGGTCAATATTGACACAAGGTCACGTACCAGCTCTAACAGTGGAGTATTGTCCAATATTGACACAAAGTCACATACCAGCTATAACAGTGGAGTATTGTCCAATACTGACACAAGGTTCATACCAGCTCTAACAGTGGAGTATTGTCCAATATTGACACAAGGTCACATACCAGCTTTAACAGTGGAGTATTGTCCAATATTGACACAAGGTTCATACCAGCTGTAACAGTGGAGTATTGTCCAATACTGACACAAGGTCACGTACCAGCTCTAACAGTGGAGTATTGTCCAATATTGACACAAGGTCACATACCAGCTCTAACAGTGGAGTATTGTCCAATATTGACACAAAGTCACATACCAGCTATAACAGTGGAGTATTGTCCAATACTGACACAAGGTTCATACCAGCTCTAACAGTGGAGTATTGTCCAATATTGACACAAGGTCACATACCAGCTTTAACAGTGGAGCATTGTCCAATATTGACACAAGGTTCATACCAGCTGTAACAGTGGAGTATTGTCCAATACTGACACAAGGTCACGTACCAGCTCTAACAGTGGAGTATTGTCCAATATTGACACAAGGTCACATACCAGCTCTAACAGTGGAGTATTGTCCAATATTGACACAAGGTTCATACCAGTTCCAACAGTGGAGTATTGTCCAATACTGACACAAGGCTATGTACCAGGTCCAACAGTGGAGTATTGTCCAATATATTGACACAAGGCTATGTACCAGCTCTAAAAGTGGAGTATTGGTCAATATTGACACAAGGCTACGTACCAGCTCCAACAGTTGAGTATTGTCCAATATTGACACAAGGCTATGTACCAGCTCCAACAGTGGAGTATCGTCCAATATTGACACAAGGTCACGTACCAGCTCCAACAGTGGAGTATTGGTCAATATTGACACAAGGTCACATACCAGCCCTAACAGTGGAGTATTGTCCAATATTGACACAAGGTCACATACCAGCTCCAACAGTGGAGTATTGGTCAATATTGACACAAGGTCACATACCAGCTCCAACAGTGGAGTATTGGTCAATATTGACACAAGGTCACATACCAGCTCCAACAGTAGAGTATTGGTCAATATTGACACAAGGTCACGTACCAGCTCTAACAGTGGAGTATTGTCCAATATTGACACAAAGTCACATACCAGCTATAACAGTGGAGTATTGTCCAATATTGACACAAGACTACATACCAGCTCTAACAGTGGAGTATTGTCCAATATTGACACAAGGTCACATACCAGCTTTAACAGTGGAGTATTGTCCAATATTGACACAAGGTTCATACCAGCTGTAACAGTGGAGTATTGTCCAATACTGACACAAGGTCACGTACCAGCTCTAACAGTGGAGTATTGTCCAATATTGACACAAGGTCACATACCAGCTCTAACAGTGGAGTATTGTCCAATATTGACACAAGGTTCATACCAGTTCCAACAGTGGAGTATTGTCCAATACTGACACAAGGCTATGTACCAGTCCAACAGTGGAGTATTGTCCAATATATTGACACAAGGCTATGTACCAGCTCTAAAAGTGGAGTATTGGTCAATATTGACACAAGGCTACGTACCAGCTCCAACAGTTGAGTATTGTCCAATATTGACACAAGGCTATGTACCAGCCCTAACAGTGGCGTATTGGTCAATATTGACACAAGGTCACATACCAACTCTAACAGTGTAGTATTGGTCAATATTGACACAAGGTCACATACAAGCTCTAACAGTGGAGTATTGGTCAATATTGACACAAGGTCACATACCAGCTCTAACAGTGGAGTATTGGTCAATATTGACACAAGGTCACATACAAGCTCTAACAGTGGAGTATTGGTCAATATTGACACAAGGTCACGAACCAGCTCTAACAGTGGAGTATCGTCCAATACTGACACAAGGTCACATACCAGCTCTAACAGTGGAGTATCGTCCAATATTGACACAAGGTCACATACCAGCTCCAACAGTGGAGTATCGTCCAATATTGACACAAGGTCACGTACCAGCTCCAACAGTGGAGTATTGGTCAATATTGACACAAGGTCACATACCAGCCCTAACAGTGGAGTATTGTCCAATATTGACACAAGGTCACATACCAGCTCCAACAGTGGAGTATTGGTCAATATTGACACAAGGTCACATACCAGCTCCAACAGTGGAGTATTGGTCAATATTGACACAACGCTACATACCAGCTCTAACAGTAGAGTATTGGTCAATATTGACACAAGGTCACGTACCAGCTCTAACAGTGGAGTATTGTCCAATATTGACACAAAGTCACATACCAGCTATAACAGTGGAGTATTGTCCAATATTGACACAAGACTACATACCAGCTCCAACAGTGGAGTATTGTCCAATATTGACACAAGGTCACATACCAGCTTTAACAGTGGAGTATTGTCCAATATTGACACAAGGTTCATACCAGCTGTAACAGTGGAGTATTGTCCAATACTGACACAAGGTCACGTACCAGCTCTAAAAGTGGAGTATTGTCCAATATTGACACAAGGTTCATACCAGTTCCAACAGTGGAGTATTGTCCAATACTGACACAAGGCTTTGTACCAGGTCCAACAGTGGAGTATTGTCCAATATATTGACACAAGGCTATGTACCAGCTCTAAAAGTGGAGTATTGGTCAATATTGACACAAGGCTACGTACCAGCTCCAACAGTTGAGTATTGTCCAATATTGACACAAGGCTATGTACCAGCTCCAACAGTGGAGTATCGTCCAATATTGACACAAGGTCACGTACCAGCTCCAACAGTGGAGTATTGGTCAATATTGACACAAGGTCACATACCAGCCCTAACAGTGGAGTATTGTCCAATATTGACACAAGGTCACATACCAGCTCCAACAGTGGAGTATTGGTCAATATTGACACAAGGTCACATACCAGCTCCAACAGTGGAGAATTGGTCAATATTGACACAACGCTACATACCAGCTCCAACAGTAGAGTATTGGTCAATATTGACACAAGGTCACGTACCAGCTCTAACAGTGGAGTATTGTCCAATATTGACACAAAGTCACATACCAGCTATAACAGTGGAGTATTGTCCAATATTGACACAAGACTACATACCAGCTCTAACAGTGGAGTATTGTCCAATATTGACACAAGGTCACATACCAGCTTTAACAGTGGAGTATTGTCCAATATTGACACAAGGTTCATACCAGCTGTAACAGTGGAGTATTGTCCAATACTGACACAAGGTCATGTACCAGCTCTAACAGTGGAGTATTGTCCAATATTGACACAAGGTCACATACCAGCTCCAACAGTGGAGTATTGTCCAATATTGACACAAGGTTCATACCAGTTCCAACAGTGGAGTATTGTCCAATACTGACACAAGGCTATGTACCAGGTCCAACAGTGGAGTATTGTCCAATATATTGACACAAGGCTATGTACCAGCTCTAAAAGTGGAGTATTGGTCAATATTGACACAAGGCTACGTACCAGCTCCAACAGTTGAGTATTGTCCAATATTGACACAAGGCTATGTACCAGCTCCAACAGTTGAGTATTGTCCAATATTGACACAAGGCTATGTACCAGCTCTAAAAGTGGAGTATTGGTCAATATTGACACAAGGCTACGTACCAGCTCCAACAGTTGAGTATTGTCCAATATTGACACAAGGCTATGTACCAGCTCTAAAAGTGGAGTATTGGTCAATATTGACACAAGGTCACATACCAGCTCCAACAGTGGAGTATTGGTCAATATTGACACAAGGCTACGTACCAGCGCCAACAGTGGAGTATTGTCCAATACTGACACAAGGTCACATACCAGCTCTAACAGTGGAGTATTGTCCAATATTGACACAAGGTCACATACCAGCTCTAACAGTGGAGTATTGTCCAATATTGACACAAGGTTCATACCAGCTCTAACAGTGGAGTATTGTCCAATATTGACACAAGGTCACATACCAGCTCCAACAGTGGAGTATTGTCCAATATTGACACAAGGTTCATACCAGCTGTAACAGTGGAGTATTGTCCAATA